AGCTCCCCTTGGAGAATAGTCCCACATTGGCAATATGTAAAGCCAAAGCCATGGAGGGAGATATAAATAAGTGTCCCCTCCCTCATTCTAAGGCATCCAAGGTTTCAAGCTTTCAAGCTTTGTAATCTCTCTTTATTAGTGAAGCTTTATCTTCTCTAACTCTTCTTCCTATTCTACTTTCAAGAGAGTGTTTTTGAGTTGTTAGTTGGGAAGGTTAGGCTGATTTAGTGCTAAGAAAGAGCGCTAAAGCCACACGGATAACTCGAGGAAAGTTAGTCCGTGACATGCAGCTTCCATATACTCTACATGTGTCATGGTCATGACTGCAAAGAATGTGTCATATCTCCGAAATAAAAATTGACAGAACAAAAGGTTTTTTTTTTTTTCTTATTAATAGAGGCCTCCTTTTGTAATGATCTCCTGTAAATGCCATTGAGTTGCACCTCATATTACAAGCATGCATCAGTGGTCTATACAAAATTTTGTTTCTCATCCCTCTACTTGTACCACTATTGCAGTTCACTGAATCATAAGAAATTTCTCCTTTATTGTACAGTTGCTCTACATCACCATTCACTAGTATGCACCTACCATCTACTTGCTAACCTCATCTAAGAGTTAAATGCTTTGAGCTTAATTTTCCTCCATTTTATGCAAACAATCCTCCAAAGATAGGCCTTGGAGACTTATTGCTTGGTCATAACGTCTTCGGTAGAAAATTCTTATTTTTAAATTAATAACTGTTGAAGAAAGAAAATCATTTGCTAAGGTAGTATGTCTATCAACCCTTCGATAAGTGCTCGTGTAAAATTAGGAATGCTTCTCACAGGCGATGCCAAATAGTTGCTAAAGAACTCTCTATCATTTGACGTTTTATCTTTGCAAGACGATCCAACACAGAAAACACACAGCAAAAGATTATGGAAGCTTAACACAAATGAAATGATCAGTTAAATAAGTAACATTATAAAATTATACCCTTCCCCACTGCTAAAGAAGATGATATTACAAATACAATCCTATAAACGTAATGAAGCTTGAAATAGTGTAGGAGTAATGACATCAATCTGATAATGACAAATAGGAAGCAATTCTGGCCAGCCAATTACTTTTAAATTGCCGTAACTCTGTTTAAAATGTTCAGTAATTGTATTTTCCAGTTTTTCTGCATCATTATTTCAAAAAAAAAAAAAAACAAAAAAAACATAGTGCTTAAAAGAAGTACAACTAGAGCTGTGAATTTAGCTTGAAGAACGTTAATTGCTCAAAAATAAATTTGAATTTAAGCTTGGATCGAAATAAACGAGCCGGGCTATCATTTAAAAGATGAGGTGGAACCAAACCAAATTGCTAGATAAAATTTAATAAAAAGAGTCATGAGCCAATTTCGAGGTGGAACCAAACCAAATAACTCAATTTGAGCCAATTAATTTCAATTTTGAGCCGGATCAAGCCAATTCTAAGCTCAAACGAATCCAACTAACTCAATTTAAGTCAGCTCATTTGGATTTTGAGTTGAATCGAGCTCTGTTTGAACATAATGTGTGACGAGGCGAATTCGAGTCAATTTCAAGCCAACCTCGGCACGAGTAGAAAGTGGATTGTTAAAAGACCTAAGTGCAACCCGCAAGTTCTAAAAAATTTCTTACAATGATGAATATATTAAGCTATTTTGACTTACTACATTATTTGTCCTTTTAACTTAACAGTCCAGTGATATATACAGACCACCCGACAAATTAACCACCGAACCGATTTGTTTAGGCGTGCCACAATCAAACTATTGAGAATTTGATAAATATGTAAAATATGAGTGGTGTTTTACCATGAATATTGATATTTAAGATAGAAATTGAAAAACAGATGAAAGGAGAGGGTTGATTTGTAAATACCAAATTTCGAATTGTCCCTACAGGAAAAAGAAAAGTTAAAAAAATCCATACCGAATTTAGAGCTAGATGGACAGGGGCAGGCGCCTTAATTTCCTTGCAGACATACTGAATTTAGAGCTAGATGGACAGGGGTAGGTGCCTTAATTTCCTTGCAGAAAGTGGTCCCCGCCGACATCGCAGCTGGCCACGCAGTATCCTTTATGCGGCACGCATTAAAAGCCACGTTGATGGCCGCAGGTCCGCACACTTCGCCAACCCTCCCCTTTCCTTGCACACCTTATCTTCAACCTTCTGCAACCATACAGAGAGACAGAGAGAGAGTGAGAGATGAAGATGGAGAGATGGGAGAAAGTAAGCGGCCGAAGGCTGGCGATCATCTGCTTCTACCTGTTGGTTTCCACAGCGACGTCGTCGGATGGGCGGGAGTGGGATATCGCCGGAGAAGGAGGTGGCGCCGGCGGCCATGAGAGGGCGGCGCCGTTCCTTCTTAAGGAATCAAGAGTGGTGTCCAAGTCGGAGGGCGGCGAGATCAGGGTGTTCAAAGGTCCCTCATGGAACGGCCGCCCGTCCCGCATGCTCATTAGCTTTGTAACCATGGAGGCAAACACACTGCTCATTCCCCATTACATGGATGCCCACCTCATCCTGTTCCTCCTAAAAGGTACGGCAAAAAATCATTTAAATAATTGGGTGCTATAAATGTAATAATCCAATTGCTCTGATATAATTCTGCTCATACTATACGAATATTATAAATATATCAAATACTGTAGCAAATATTACAAGGTATAATAATATGGATTTCATATAACTAGCATTAACATTTTAATTCTCAATTATATGATTTATTAAAAAAATATGCATAAGTAAGGGTGTAAAAGAAACCGAACACGAACGACAGAGCTTGTGTTTGTGTTCAATTCGTTTGAAATTTAGTTTATTTGAAATAACCTCGTATTCGAAATTGTTCGTGAAGTCATTGTTGATGTTTTTGTTGGTGTTTTTTTCTAAACGAACGAGCCGAGCACGAGCTGTTCGCGAACGAGAAGCCAGTTTGACATTCATAATATTAATATATATAAATAATATATTATATTTTTTGTAAAATCCGCTCAGTCAAGAATCCTTAAAAAAAATTTCAAGAACACCTGAAAGAAAACCTTCTAGAAAACTCTCTGTATATTGAGTTAGATGATTAAGAACTTAATAATATTATCTAAATCTTTCCAACAATAATAGCATCCAAGAACCTTTTTCTTGTTGGAAAGAACCTTACTGCACTGTTTGTTAAGAACTCCTTGCCATTCACTTCCCTAGGCTTGCGGTTCTTGACCTGAATCCCTGTAGCTAGAGAATAGAGTTCTCCTTCCCTGCAACGGTTCTTGGATGCCAAGGATCTTGCTACAGGCCAAAGTATAGGATTGCCGAATAGCACCTGCAGTGTTTCGGCTACCTGAACGACAGAATGGGAAAGAAAGAACTACCGCAACAAATAAGAACAAGAACAAAAAAAATTGCGAGAACTACACAAACATAAAAACACAAGAGGTTACGTGGTTCGGTCCATTGACCTACAT